TATACAAATCCAGAACTGAAGTTGTGAGGTTCGTAAGTGATTCGTCTAAGTTCAAGCTGGCGATAGGCAAGACTGCGAAGATTCAAACACAGGTCCCTCCGATAGCCCGTGCTATTAAACAAGTCTGTTTTAGCGCTAACCTGACCAGGTCATGTCCTCTACCTCGGCAAAATTACTTTCTTTACCAAGATCTTTCCAATTTTTAGAAGATATATCACCTCTTGGGATAAAGAACACCCAAACTAGGCATGGTCAATGTTTAAAATCAAACCCTCTGTTAGGAATTTTCCTAACATGAACTCTCTGCCGACGCAAAAATCCCAATCAAGCCAAATCACAAGCCAAATTAAAAAATATCCAAGTTTAATGGGATTCTTGTGCTCTCGGGTGGGGACCGGGGAAGCCCCAAAAGAGACCACGGGAGGGGGGAGGGGAGGAGAGAACCACATGGGAACTTTCCAGGGAAGCAGTTTAAATAGACTGGGGTAGTGGTCAAGATTTTGGCTGGCTGTATTGACCCTCCTCCGGGGAGGGGTCAAGGCTTGGCGGGCACAGGGATAGGGCCTCCAAAGATGGAGGTCAGAGGCCAGGACTTGGGACTTACATCCTCCAGTTTAAACTGTAGTTCCTACTAGCTACAAGACCTTGGAAACATTTCCTGTCAACAAACCTCATTACACTGTTTGGAGGAAATTCAAAGTCATGTACAATCTTTAGTGCAGAGCAAATTCCAGCAAAGAGTGGAAATCTTGGCCCTGGCAGACCCTTCCTGTGGGTCTGGAATCCACTATAAAAACTCTTGGGAATTTCATCTTTTTGTCAGGGGGCTGCCACCTTATTGGTCCACAAGAAAATATGAATTAAATAAATTATTTTTAATTAATATGTTTGGGTGTTTTGTCTGCATATTTGTCCATGTACCTCATATGTGCAGTACCTATAAAGGCCAGAAGAGGGCATTAGATCCCCTAGAATAGGCGGTAGAGAAGATGGTGAGCCACCATGGGGGTGCTGGGAACTAAACCTAAATCCTCTACAAGAGCAGCCAGTGATCTTAACCACGGCTGTCTCTCCAGATGGCTGTATCTCCAGCCCTGGGAATATGAACTAAAATACCCAGTCCCTCTGCTTGGTTTGGAAAAACAGTATTAGCCCAAATTTGTTTTTTTCAAAAAGTTGATATTGCTGGGTTACAAAAGGCCTTGTAACTAATTAACTAATTAAGCTGCAACCGACAAGTTAAATTGTAACCAATTGGCTCATTGACCGAGATGAGTTCTTTGGATTGCTCTAGGCTGCCTTTCGTGTTTTCTATAAGAATCTTGAGATCATGTTGACTTTCCCAGAAACTGCGGTAGCTCCCATTTGCAAAGCAGCGTGTTTTGCTCAAATGAACACTACTGACTTTAATTGATCTAAACAATCTTCCTTTTCATAACCCTCAGAGGGAACTTTGTGAGGGTTCCAGAGAGAGTAAATGAATAGATAAAATGCATCTCCTTCAGTGTGGCTTGTCAAGGCTATTTACAAAGTTTAGGAAATTTTGTTTGGGCTTCACATTTTCCTATTCATAATTCTGAGTTAATTTTTCTTAGTTTGTGTGGGTGAGTGGCTGGGGTGTGGATTGCAGAGGCTGGGGAAGGACACTTCAGTGCCCTGCTCCATGATTCTTCAGCATTGAGATAGGGTTTCTCATCGAGCCTGGAGTGAGACCGTCTCAGCAAGCCCAGGCAATCCTCCATGGGGTCACAGTACTGTGGCGTGGCCATTACTGACCTAGTGCATCAGTGCTGGGGATTTGAACTCCTGTCCTCATGTTAGTTCAGCAAATGCTCCTACCCACTGAGCCATCTCCTCACTTACAAAATCTGAAGACAGCTGGCAGTGTCTGACCAGGCATTGATGAAAGAAACCAAGGCCTTTGCTTATATTTTTCGAGCCCACCCATTGGACTGATTCTCCTTAGACGCCTTTTCGGTCCCATGTAGTTCAATGCTTGCTTCGGCTCCACCCACAATGTTGACCATTGTACCTGTTAGTCATTCCTGATCTGGAGACTGGAATGTCCCAGGATGGGAAAGTTTTTAGTGCTGTGGTGCAAAGGGCAAACTTCCTCAGGTGACTTCATTCGAGAGGCGATGGTCAAGATATGAACTCACTAAAACTGAAGGTAAAAGATTACCTTCAGCCTATGGTGTAAGTTATATACGAAACATACATAAATTTTGTTTAAATTTAGGTCTCATCATCTCCACAATACCTCATCATCTCTGCACAAATGTTCTGAATTTTAAAATATAGGAAGCCTAATGGATTTCTGCTCTTGCACATTTTGGACAAGGGATATTTGATTTGCAAGATGCAATATAATGAAAGAGGGCCTCTGGCCAGGGCCAACTGAGCCTGCAGGTGATGTTGAGAATAGTCCTGGAAATTGGTGTCTCACCACCGTGGCTTGTAATAGCTTAGCCATACCCAGAAGCCATAGTAGACATAAATTTATCTCAAAAACCAAGACCACGCATATCCAACTTAAGTTCTTGTCCTGATCTCTGAACACCCATGTCCCTTTCCACAGCGGGGACAAGAAAGGAAGTCAAATGTGAAGTCAGCGGTTTTAACTGGGAAAAGTCTCTGGATTTTACCAAAATACGTATGACCACAGAGCACATATTCGAAACTGGCTTAGAAGACACCTGTGCAAAGTACGGACCCTCATGGGAGTCAAGCAACACTATGCCGAGCATTTCAGATAGGAACATCATTCTTGTCGGAGCTATCCAATTGATCAAATCTGTATAGGAGAAAGCCTCAGATGAAACTTATACCCCAATTTTGAATTTGCTACATATTTTTTATTGAAGCCATTAAAATCTAGGATACTGGAAGCTCTAATAGGCTCCAAGAAAAAAAGTAGGGAAGTTTCTGAAATTTGAATTCAGTCTGTCTCTCCCTCCTCCTCTCTGTCTCACCTTCCATTTCCCCATCTCCCTGTCTCATGCTGGGTCCCTGAGAGGGGAACTACCCCGGACTGTTTCAGCCAATAACAGGTTCCATGGTCAGTAGCTGGAGGGCTATCCTCCACAAATAAAAGGGGTCTCAGCATCTCTCCCCCTCCTCTTTCTACCTGGTGCTGAAGGTAGGTTGTTATGGGGACGGCTGCACATGTGGGGGGCTTCCTCCATGTCGATACCACTGGAGGATGCCGGCGTTAATTCGAACATGGCATGCTGGAAGTACCAGATCACAAGCACCCTAAACTATCAATCTTTGCAAAGCCATTTTGAAGTCGTTCCAAGAAACGGAGCATGTGAATAAGTGTAATTAGTTGGTAGCAAATGGTTTTGCAGTCAAGTGATCCCAATGTTTTTATTGCCTGAAGAAATGGATTTATTGCATTAAAAAAAACGCTGTGGATATGACATCGTAAAGTGATTTGGAGCATATAATTTGGAAGCAGTTTAAAGAATTGAGGCAGGATGCTGTTATGAAAAATCCTGTCTGCTTCATTTAAACAAAATAAATAGGAGTGTGTCCTAGTTTCATTTGTTGCTGTGAGAAAATGTTTCGACAAAAAGCAACTTGGGGAGAAAGGGATTTGGTTCAGCTCACTAATCCGGGTCAGTTATAGTTCATTGTTGTGAGAAAGTAAGCAGGAACTTTGAATGACTAGATACATCCCGTCCGCAGTCAAGAGCTGAGAGAAACGCATGCATGTGTGCAAGCTCGCTCTCTTGGCTGCTTGCTTGGACTCAGCACAATGCCTCCTCTCTTTCAGGACTCTCTGCCTAGGGAATGGTGCTGCCCACAGTGGGCTGGGTCACTTACCCTAAGACACGCCACACATACACATCTAACCTAACCCAGACCATCCCCCACTGAGGGTCTACCCAGGTGATTGCAGGTGATGGATGTCAACACACTAAATGGAGTTTTATAATAATCACTCAATTATTTGAGGCAAGATAAGTGAATACTTGTCTGCACAGTTCCAACTAGGGGTTTACTGGCCATTCATTCTGTTTTTGGTTGCTTAACAATCTCACCAGTAACGCCAGAGGGCTGCAGAGCTATCTTGCCAAACCTGTTACTATGTTTTGATTACAGCCATTCTAAAGAGGCAGAAGTCAAGCCTCATTCTGATGTGAGTTAGCCTGAAGATTCACGGTACTGACCATCTTCTGATGCCCTGTCTGGTGGTCTGCATATCTTGTCTGAGGAGATATCTACTCAAATCCTTCATTCACTTTTAACTGTTGCTTTTATAAGTTATTGAGGTGTGTTCTTTATGCATTATGGATTCAAAAAAGAAATAATGACTTCTTCGCTGCTGAGCCATCTCTCCAGACCCAGGCCTAGTTTTATGTGTCACAGATTTAAGACCTCTGGTGACCAGGTCAGGTAGGGTCCCAGGCCAGCATTTGTGCTCCAGATCGTCAGTGCTCGACCCAGGGCTCCCCCTGGCGGCCAGAGGCTGTCATCGCCCGTCGCTCTCCGGGTCCCTTCGGCGGCCCCGGGGCGGCCGGTAGGGAGTGCGCAGGCGCGGTCCGACGTGGCCTAGGCCTGGCTGGGGCTGGAGGGTGTCAGGCCTGTGCCCGTGCTCTCAGTGGGCTCTCGGGCTCGGAGCGGACCGCTGACGCCCCGTGCTCCATCTGGAAGGTCAGAGTGGGCCAAAGCTCAGCTCGGCGCGGGTGTGGTGACGCGTGGGCGGGGCCGGCCACAGAGGGCGTCACGCGGGCTTTGTGAGTCTGGACTAACTAATACGCCGCAGGCTGTGGGGGGCTGCGGCCCGCGCCACGCCGGCATCTTGCAGGGAAGCCCTTCTAACCGGAGAAGTTTCCAGAAGTCCTGCAGAGGGTATTCCAGCTAGTACTGAAGGAGCCTTCGCCCTCCCTCCACCTCCCACAGTGCTGGCCCCGGTAACGGCGCTCAGGTCCTAGATCCTCCCGCCCCAGGACACTGCGCATCCCTGGTGCGGGTCTTCCCATCCCTGGTTCCCGCACACCCCCCGGTTCTGGTTCTCCAGTCTTGGGTTCTCCCATCCCTGATCCTTGCTTGCTCCCGGCGTGAGTTCTCCCATACCTGGTCCCTGCTCATCCACGGTTCTCTCTCCAAACCCCACTGGCTTTCTCGCTCCCCAGAACCTAGAGCTTGCCCAAAGGTGAGCAACAGCACTGGAAATGAACGGCGTGGGGGTTTTGCTCATTGGAACACACTGGTTACTGGCATCCAGCGTCTCCGAGGACCCCTGCGGCCTAACTTCGTATCTGGAAAAAGTTTTCTCTGGGAATGCTCACGGTTTTGTGACGCTGCGTTATTTATTGCGTTAGTGTACGCCTGGCTCCGTTATTCCCATGGTTGTGATATTTCTTGACGATCCTCGGGATTTGCTATGTTGTATTATATATACACTTAACGATCTTGCCTTTTAATTTTTATTAGATAAATTTTGTCTCGGTAAAATGACTCTCGGATATCTAAGAAGTTAGCAACTGTCTTAAAGTTTACAGAAGCTCTTACGCGAATAAGAGGGCAGTAGAAGAATGCTCCCCGTTCCGAGGGAGTTACTCTTAGTTCGTGCTCTTTCCTGATTGTCTTAATTGATGGCTGTGAAGGACTTGTTTGAAATGGGAAACTTATGTACTAATGTGGGTTGTGGTTTGCTGCCCATGCATGGTGCTTTCTGAAGCACACAGTTTCCCTAGCAAGTTGTACTGACTAGGATGGTACAGGAGTCGACTAGACGCCACCCCGAGTATCAGTACCCCATGTTTCCTACCGGGATAGGAGTAAGTGATGTAGTTTTGGGATCTCGGTTCTGTCTGCCGACAATAGCTGATCATGGAATAGTTATTGTACACAGCACTGAGACTCAGTCTCAGCTCTTTTCATTTCTTTAAATGTCATATCTCTAGGGTGATGAGTAAGTTAATTAGCTTTATTTCATTATTCCATATTGTATTTTTTAAAAAAATCGGGCAATGGAGCTCAGTAGGCAACAGGTACTTCACTTGCAGAGGACCCAAGTTCAGTTCCCAGGGCTATAACTGCCTCTAATTCCAGCTTCAGGGGATTCAGTGCCTCTGGGTACCTACACTCAGGTGCACACACCTGCCCCTCTCCACATGTGCATAATTAAAAATAATAAAATCTTTAAAAGATCGAAATAGTTCAAAAGTCAGACTGCACTATGACTTTGTGCCCTATAAATGTCTTCGTGTAATTTGTCATCTAATTTAAATAACAAACGCTTCCCATCCTCCCTTTTGTAATGGACCGGGAATGCTGGCATTAGACCTTCTCTTGCTATTTCCCTTAAGAATTATTGTTTGCTACCTTTTCTGTCATGGAATGGCTCTGAGTTTCCAAGGATTTTGAAACAGAATTTTACTTCTACTGGTGCAAAATGAACCACATACATACACATATGAGTGTTCATATTGCTATGCTTGAAGGAGTTGTCTCTTAAATCTTTTATTAGAATGTTTAAGTGGGCTGAAGAGATGACTCAGTGAGTAAAGAGCTAAGCCTGAGGACCTGAGTTCAGATCCCCCCAAAACCTGTAATCCCAGCCCTCCTACTGAGAGATGGAAGGGAGAGCGAGCCTTGTCTGTGGAGCAGGGGATGGGAGTGGGGAGGCAAAAGACCCTGTGTTAGACCGGGTAAAAGACCAGGATACACACCCCGGCGTTGTCCTCTGACCTCCCCAGGTCTGGGCATGTGTCTGCCAACATTTTACACTCAGACTTGTTCACATACAGATCAGAAGAAATAAATGTTTAAAAGTTAAAAGTCCACCATTTTTTTTATTATTATCAAGCTAATGGAGTGCTTCATTACTTCAGATTGGCCTTCCAAAGACCTTTCTGGTTCCAGACTTTGAGAATTAAAGCATATGAAATCTTTAACAGCTTTTCAGTCTTCCTGAGACGTATAGTAGACAGTTTTCCTCTGTTTAGTTCTCTGTTTTATTCTAAGCACACGAGCCCAGCCTGCTGCCCAGAAACCACACGCAGCCCAACACAGCCAGTCACACATGTGGCCCAGCACTATGTAGATGACTTTGCTAGAAGTTTGTGCGCTTCAGACTCCATGCCTCCTCGTGCACTAGAAAATGAACTGTAGAACGTTTATCCTGTGGCTTCTGGGAGGAGAAAGTGGCTGAGGTCTGTGGATATCTGTGGCATTGTGGTGACGGCAGGGTAGGATTCCAGGGTAGTGACACGGGGGTAGGGCAAATACGGGTTTTTATATGGCCACTTGTATGCGATAGTTCCTGAACTGGGGGCTGAGTGTGTTCTGTCCACTACCGTGAAGTTGCTGTGACTGGACCGGCTATTGGCGGGTCTGTTTTTCACTTCTGAGAAGTCTGACTGCTGAAACCTGTGGCCCCTTCACTGTGTAGACAGCTGTGGAGATACTCTTCTGCCCCTTGACTATATTTTTTTTACTGCCCTGAGAAACTGTAAGGAGTCCAGAGTGGCCAGCACATATGGGCATTGAGCGTTTGCTGTGGGTACGTTAAATTGGACATAGACTTTGAAGTACAGCATAGGCTGTCTTTGGAAGACATCACACAAAGGAGGAAAATCCTCCCCAACTCATTTAGATACATGCCGGAATGATACTTCATTGTATGAGATAAATAAAAGCTGTCGTTGAAGTTTCACCTGTTTCCTTTTACTTTGATAGTGGTTCCTGGAAAATAAATATTAATTTTGTGGACCGCAGTGTAATCTTCTCGGACAAGGCGGCTGCTACGGCAAGGCTTGTATTTATTCTGTAAAGTAAGTAACTCGCCTTTCACCACGTACATAAAAAATTAAATATCTTGTAAGCCAGCCTCTCTGCTTCCTTCCAAAGGCTGCTCGGATTGGTTTTCTGACCCAGTTCTTGGTGTCTCCGTGGCTCTCAGCAGTATGCTAACACTACTGCTTGCTTCAGCCTTGGGCATTGCAGCTAAAGTCCCACTACAGAGGTTTTAGCGCCTTCGTCCTGGCACACAAACTTTCCATCCCCCCGTTATTCTGTTCCCTAGGTACGGTTTGTTGCATCATTTTGCTAACGTCAAGATCCTCTATTTTCGATTTTAGACACCAAGAGAAACAGAAATATGCCCTGATTACTTTATGGGCTTTGTTTGGCATGTTTTATCAGGAGTTAATAATTGTCTTCATTTTTATCTCCGATTTTCATTTTTACTGATTAAATCCTGCATTCTTCCAGGGTTCTATAAATTTTCCCTAAAACCTAGAAACACACCAGAAATTGCGGGGTTTTATTTCCTGAATGCTTTCTGAAGTGCCTTCCAGTCTGGCTATGTCACTCTGGAACTACCTCGGGAATTCCGTCTTCAGCCCTGGGATTCCACTAACTGTGGTGTGCAAGTAACTGTCCTGAGGTCTGCCTCACACCCCATCAGGTCCCCCAAGGCTGCTGTCCGGCCCCTGTCAGCATGGTTTAAGCCTGGGATTTCTGCCTCCTCTTTTATCTGACCTGTTACTCCTGCTACTCTTTCCATCATTTTCTCTATTCTGCATTTCAGAGCGTTTTGTCCTTTGCATGGGCCTTTTAGACAATGTTCTAATTTTATTGTAATTTCCTGTTCAGCCTTTTATTTCATTGCTATCCATTCTGGGCATTTATAAACATTTTCTCTCTCCACTGAGTTTACCTTCCAGATATGTGTGATCTCTAAAAGCTAATTTTTTGGGCGGGAGGGAGGGGTGTCCTTCTGGGCACATGCCTATCTTTTATCTTACAGATTTTTTCCCTTTGAGGTCAGCTGTGGGCGGGGCTCTTCCTCTGGAGCCAGCACCTTGTTTTTCTTTAGCTTGAGACAGGATCTGGAACTCTCCTGGAGCTGACCGAGTAGACTACCAGCCTGCCAGTGAGCCCCAGGGATCCACTTCCCCAGCCTTGGGGTTAATGTGTTGGGAAGAGGTCCCCTGGAGCTTGGAGCTAAACTCTGATCCACCTCTCTAGCTCCCTTTATGGTATTTTAGGATCAGGCACATTTATTTATCAACTGTAAAGTTGATCCTGAATGTTTTGTCTGAAGGGTTGGGTGTGCAGTTGTGAACAGGCAGGCACCATCCTTGAAATTCATTCGTGTGAGAAAGAGAGCTAAGTATGCAAAAAGCTAACTGGGTAATGGCAGGCGGTGTTTCTTGTCTTGCAGAGATGGAGCGAGAGCCGGCAAACGGAGAACCTGCTGAGATTAAGATCATCAAGGAAGCTTACGAGAAGGCCTTTTTGTTTGTTAATAAAGGGCTGAACACGGATGAGCTAGGGCAGAAGGAAGAAGCAAAGAACTACTACAAGCAAGGAATAGGACACCTGCTTAGGGGCATCAGTGTCGCGGCAGAGCCGGGGTGCACAGGCCCTGCATTGGAGTCCGCCAGACAGATGCAGCAGAAGATGAAAGAGACCCTTCAGAATGTCCGCACCAGGCTAGAGATCCTAGAGAAGGGCCTTGCCACGTCTCTACGGAACGACCTTCAGGATGTGCCCAAGTTATACCCAGAGTTCCCTCCTAAAGATTCCTGCAAGAAGTCCCCAGAGCCAGAATCTGTTAGTTCAGCCCCCCAGCCTGCTGAAGTAGATGGGAGCGTCTCTGCTGCAGGTGCCACAGGTGCCACAGGTGCCACAGGTGCCACAGGCACCAGGCCAGGTGCTGCACCTTCTGCTGGGCTCTTACCTTCACCCAGCTGTCCCGCTGAAGCACCCCCAGCCTACACCCCCCAGGCTGCGGAGGGTCACTACACTGTTTCCTACGGAACAGACTCCGGGGAGTTCTCGTCAGTGGGAGAAGACTTCTATAGGAACCATTCCCAGCCTCCCCCTCTCGAGTCCTTGGGGCTCGATGCAGACGAGCTGATTTTGATACCAAACGGAGTGCAGATCTTTTTTGTAAACCCTGCAGGAGAGGTTAGTGCTCCGTCATACCCTGGGTACCTGCGCATCGTGAGGTTCTTGGATAATTCTCTGGATACTGTTCTGAACCGCCCTCCAGGGTTTCTCCAGGTAAGCTCTTCGAAGCAATGTGTGGGTATAAGCCTAGAAACAGGTAGTGTACCTCATTTTCATTTGTTGATGTTTGTAGCACATCCAGAATAAGAGCAAAAGAAAAAGGGTTGAATCTACAGAGTTCGGGTTGAATCTACAGAGTTCTGAATACATCCATGTTTGTGTGTGCTGGCATTTCCTCTTTTTAAAGTTAAAAAATCTGGTTTTGGTTTTATTTTTGATTGATTTTAGGACCTAAGAAAGCTACATTTTGTCTGAAGAAGAAATGCAGTTACTTGAATTTCAAAGGGAATTTATGTGAATCATGCTGACATAGGCCTGTGAATATCCATAGACGTTATCAAGACCCACCTGGGGGTCTGGACTGGCCTAGAACCACTCTACTAGGAGTGGTTTTACCCCTTGAGGGATCTTTTTTGACAGTGTCTGCAAGTGTTTGCATTACAACTGAAAGGTGGTGGTTACCTGGTGTAATAGAGCGGCCAGAGAAACTGCTCAGTGGCCACACAGTATAGCCCATCAGGAGGAAAATTATCCATCCCTAAACCTCAGTCAGGCGAGGCTGCGAAGCCTTGGCCTAAAGGGCTGAACTGCAGCTAGGATGGCCAGAATGGTCCAGGAGTAAAGACTGATGAGAAGCAAATGTGTGTCAGGGCAACGCTGTGGACTTAATGGGGTACAGTCCAGCCGCCATCTGCTGGGAAAGGGTTACTGGGAGATGGGCTCTTGAAAACTGGGACGCAGTGTACATTCAGTGGGTTTGTGTTGAAGAGACATCACTGTTTAAACAAAGCGGTTGCCTGTGCCCAGAGTCAGATAAGATAATAGAACTAGGCACCGGCTGCCTGCAGTCCTAATGCTGCTTTGCCCTTGTTCTTATGGAAGCCAGGCTGAAAGTCTTTTAACAATGGTTGGGAGCTAATCAGAGATGTGGAAAACATTCTTGGGGCACAGTTGAAAGATTCATTACTAAACAAGAGGCATTGACTGTTATCTTAAGGAGGAAGCCTTAGGGTTAACAAGAGCAGGCTTAAGACTGAGGTTAGGGGAGGGGCTGTAGAGAGTTTCTGCTGGCCTTGCAACAGTGTTGCATAGTCATGGGGCCTAAGAGCTCTCTGGGTCCTTGGCTCGGGAGGTGCAGGAAGAGAGCATCAGAAAGATGGCCGGCGCTTGGCTGCCGGATCTCAGCTGAGAAGATGCTCCGGTCCCACCAGCAGTTTGTCTTTCTTACTTGATTCAGTTTGGTTCTTAACATTTTACAAACGTTGCTTTTGGGTCCTAAATAAAAAGTAGAATTGCACCCCACGTTTCATTAATTGACTGTCATTCACATATTAACTATTTGTAGCAGTGTTCTGAAGAATTAATGAGTGTCTACTGAATATATTTATCCTAAAAAAAACCAAAAAAAAAAAAAAAAACCCAACCCAAAGCAGCAGAAAGCACAGCTGCACAGCTGTCAGTAGAAATTAGGTAGAGTCTCCTATGCTCAGAAAATCGTTGTTAATCTGTTTAGGACATGAGAGTAAGGTTATTTTCAATAAGCGGATTTTCTAATACACATAAAATAAGTAGCTATTGAGTTGTTGGGCTTTTGTTGTTGTTTAGGTTTCTGAGTTCCCTGGCATCACGCCATACTTTAGAAAACATTGTAGTAAGCTTTGTTCTAATCTACCTGAATTTTACTATAGTCAAAATTGATGGATTTTGAGAGATAGAGAAGAAAATCTATTTAAAAAAAAAAAAGATTTTGAAAATGTTTGTCAGGCCCTCTCCAGAAGTCAGCATTGAGCATGTAGCCTTTGCGCATTTATCTTCTGCTGGCCAGCAGGGGGCGATGTGTCTGAGATCCTTTTGTTTCAGTAGATTGATCAAAAGAATGATCCCTCGATCGATCCTTGGGTTTCTTTATGGTTGATGGTGTTCTAAGGTTGGGGCAATTATACTTCAGTTGCTAGAGAGTGTAATACATGACAGAGGAATACATTTAGGAATTCTGTTTGGATAGCCAGGATATGAACTTAAGTCTGAGTGTTGGGAAAAACTGACCTCCCCAGGTGGATCCACAGTATCATTTGGCTTTAGTCTCAGTCCCCAATGGCATACAATGTTCTGCTCTGTGTCTGCCACATCAGGTTCCCTGGACACTTGCAAAGCAAAACCTAAACCTTGTCTCTAACATAAAGAATGTGCTTAGATGCAAGCTGCACCTTGTGGTTGTCAGTGCTGAGAACTTAGGTGCCCTGGCTGTGCCTCAGCTTTTGTCGTAAAACGACTATGGCAGACCGTTTTCACAATGGAAATGACCTGATGGTTCCCGGGATTAATGAATGAAGGAAACGTGGTATGTGTATGTGAGTGGGAACTGTGCACACAAACTGGAGGCCATTCTGTTCAGTGAGAATAGCCAGACACAGAGAGCCAGTGCCACCTGGTCTAAAGACCAAGAGTGGATTGATGGCTACTGGAAGCCAAGGTGTGTAGATGGGGTGAGAGGAGAGGGTTAATCGGTGCACACTGAGTAAGGAATGACCAGCTGTGCCTGTGTAGGATAAATACCATGCTTCAAGAAAAGATTTGCATCTTCACTATAAAGAAATGATAGGTTTCTGAGGATGTAATATGTTTAACCAGAATATTACTGGTTCCCCTGTTAATGTGACAATTGTATTCTTTTATTTGCCCGTTAACAGTGAAAGGGACCAGCTGGTTTGATAGGATGCTGTGAGGCTTAAGTGGATAGCATCAGTACTGTACTGGAAAGTCATCGTGTGGTAAAGGGAGCTAGTTAGAATAACCAGCCCTCGGTTTGTATTGACCATCTTCTATCTAATGCTAGCACCATCTTCAGTCAAACTCAGGAGCCCTAAGGCCGCAGGAAGACTTAGCAGGGTGTTTACAGAGGTGTTTAATGCAGGAAGACCAAGGTAGAGGATGGTTTACTTATGGTTTGCTGATGGTGGGTCTGTAAACCCTAAAATGCACCAAACCCTAACGTTTGCTTTTAATGTAGCAATTTCATGCGATCCCCTCACTGACGGCCTGTTCTCCCCGAATCTTTCAGGTGTGTGACTGGTTGTACCCTCTAGTTCCTGATAGGTCGCCAGTTCTGAAGTGCACTGCGGGAGCCTACATGTTTCCAGACACCATGTTACAAGCCGCAGGGTGCTTCGTAGGGGTCGTTCTGTCATCCGAGCTTCCAGAAGATGACAGGGAGCTGTTTGAGGATCTGCTAAGGCAGATGTCTGACCTTCGGCTCCAGGTAACCGGATTCCTAGGTGAACTGACCTAAGCGTGAGCACCAGAGGTGTACCTCCAAAGACCCGTAACAGGCTTCAGGGAGATGAGAGCTGTCTGCCGCCGGTTGTGCAGATCGTAGGCGCTGGAGTTAAATTCACTGTGTGGTAGCTGTTAGCCTAGCTGTACCAGCCTGCTCTGCTTGTAGTTTTCTCACTGTAACACGAGGTCAGTGATACTGTCCTCCTCACTGGGCAGTGGTGGGAACCGAAGTTCTCATTTGACAGCTAGCAGGTGGTCATGCCCCGTGGATGGTGCCTACTTCACCATTGTTTACAGCGATGTAAAACTCTGAAGGTAATTCCGCTTTAGTAGATTTGGACATATGAGGTGTATAAATGGTATTTGAAGGAGATGTTGGTTGACACAATATTCTCATGGTGAATGAAGGCCAAATAAAATGTGATACATGGTCCCAAGGGGTTGAGCTAAGTAAGTGTGGTAAAGTTTCTTTTTTAAAGAATTATGAGTGTTGACAGTTACTTGCAGCTAAGTTCAGTTGACAGCATGGCGATGTAATCTTTTGTTTCCTTCAGTCACCAGGTATTGGGTTCTTTTATTAACCAGTTAAACTGTGTCAGTAGCAGGGTGCCGTGAGCAGGGACAGGAAAAGCTAAGGATATAGCTGGGTAGTATGTGCAAGTGTGTGTGTGTGTGCACGTGTGCTTCCGTGTGTGTGTGTGTGTGTGTGTGTGTGTGTGTGTGTACGGGCAGTAACTTAATCAGTGATGACATAACATAGAACCTCTGTGTAGATGTGTGTGTGTGCCCACGTGTGTGTATGTGTGTGCATGTGTGCCTGTGTGTGTGTGCAGTAACTTAATCAGTGATAACATAACACACAGCCTCTGTGTACATCACTGCCTGTGTGTCCACAGGAAGGCGTGTGTGAAGACTGGAATGTGGGGAGTGGATGTGGTCACACCCAGCTTTACTGCTCACTTGCTGATTAGTCACTTGTTGCTGCAACAAAACACCCGACAGAGGGACTTATGGAAGGGACAGCTGATTTTGGCACGCCTGGAGGATATAACCTGTCACAGGGCTGAGTGTGGCAGCAGGAGTGCGAGGCAGCTGGTCCTGTATCTACAGCCAGGAAGCAGAGGGAGATGAAGGCTGGTGCTCGGACCGCTCTGCCCTTTTTATTGGGTCAGGACCCCAGCTCATGGGATGACGCTGCCTAGAGTGGATCTTCCTGCCTCGGTTAGCGTGGTTCAATAATGCCTCCCAGATGTGCCCAGAGATTGGCTCCCATGGTCGTTTAAATCCCACGAGGCTGACAAGAGTAACCATCATGTTCACTGTGGTCACGTGTACGTGCTTACAAGCCTAGTAAAGGACACCTTTGCCCTCACCTCCGTGGGCCTTCACTGTCAGGCTTCAGGGAAGGACCTAAGGAGACTCCAGGGTTGCAGGATGCTGCTCTCTTTTATTTTGCTCTTTGGCTCTATTTTATTTTCGTTTCTGTGCTGTTGCAGAGTATCAATTGTAAGCTGCAAGTATTGGCTCTGATTTTTACATTTAAGCTTTTGCTCGTCCAGCAGAGTATGTGCCAGCACAATATCTTCGGCATGCAATGCACACACTTGACCCCTTCCACCAGTACAGTGCACTTATACATGAGCTTTGTTCATTCCTTGCCTTTGAATATATTCTCAACTTTCTGTATATCCTCAGGTTTATTACTGCATTAATTAAATCCCAAAGTAGCAGTATCCATTCAAGGTAGCTCACATGAACAGCTGCTAATGGTTGCTTTTATACCTTTTCTTTTGAACTTCCCTGTCACCATCTTACATAACCCAAGAAGCTCCAGAGGTTTGTTTGGTAAGGAGGTGACAGCAGTGTAGACAGGAGAAAGCAAGGTCTAGGTTGTGGCTCAGAGGGCAGAGCACCTGTTCTGCAAGGCTCAGGAGAGTGGATTCCAGAACTGCTAAAAGCTGTACACAGTAGCACTGGCATCTGCAATCCCAGCCCAGCCCTGTCCAGCTAGGGAAGCAGAGGCAGGAAGATCTCCAGGAATCCAAGATGTGCCTGGCCAAACGGCATGCAGGAGACCCTTTAAAACGCCAGTGGTGTGAAGGTGAGGACCAACACCCAAGACTGACCTGTGACTGTCACATGTGCTTCATGGCATGAGTACACATGGCTGCACACACGGGTTAGCATACACAAGGGACACCAGCAACGGTAGTTATCTATGCACTCAGACACTGGTATTTGAATGTGTGTGTCATGAGCACATGCTGTAGTGTACCCAGAGGAATGTCCTGCAAAGACCAGCAGAGCTAAGCCCAGTCCTTTATGCTCCAGGCAAACTGGAATAGAGCAGAGGGAGAAGATGAATTCCAGATCCCTGGGAGAGCAAGACACCCCTCTGAGCCACGGAAAGAAGCTTCTGGCACCGATATCAGGCAGTCGGGTTCTTCAGATTCTTCAATAGATCAAGGCAGCAAGGATGCACGCCATAAAGGAAAGCGTGGGAAAAAGGCAAGTTACAGAGGCAGTGGGAAGTGTCTCCTAGTCTGACGGCCATCCACCACAGCAGTGTCACAAACATCACAATCCCACACTGCTTTAAGAGGGACTTTGTGTCTCCTTCAGTATTTCAAAAGCTTTTTATTTTTACACTAAGGACCACATACTCTTTTTTTATTAATGCTTTCTCTGCTTGTTGGCTAAGAGCTTGCTCTGTATTTGTGCTCCTTCTCCTAATAAATAATGTATAAATGGAGAATGGATTTTCTGTGAATTTGTGAAGAAGAAAAAATCATTCTGCTTTTGCTCTTGAAAAACATTATCTTAATTATTCTATGTATTATTTCTTGTTGATAATTTCAAATTAAATTTTATATAGATTATATATCATATGTATGGAAAAGCTTAGTCCTAATATTTGCAGAACTGAGCACTGCCTTGTGACTTCAGGGTCTGCTGGATCCCATCAGATAGGAGAGCTACATACTCCTTTCCTCACAGCCTGGGTGGACAGTGTTTTTGTATATATATATATATATATATATATATATATATATATATATATATATCTTAACAATGTGATAGTCAAGAAATTATATTTCAGAATATTGTAGTTTACATTCATTTTGTTTTGGATGATGGTAGGCACTCTGTACTGTCTATTCCTCTACACCCATTTTTGTTATTGGGTCATTAATCTTTTTCTGCTCAGTCTCCAGGAGTTTTTATATGTTGGAGACATTGGCCCCAGTGATACAGATTTTCTTTGGGTTTTACTGACAGATAGTTCTTCTCCTATAAAGAAGAGTTGTTTTGTTTTGGGGAGTTGAGTGTGTGTGTGTGTGTGTGTGTGTGTGTGTGTGTGTGTGTGTGTGGTGTGTTTATAAATTCCACAATCCTCTTATCTTTTTAAAAGCCAAGTTCTTTGTAATCTGTTGTGCATGAAAAATCTTTGTTCTTTCCAGCTATTTTATAACATTCTGAGGTCTGTGGTTACTCTGATTCTGGGTTCTCAGAATGGATGAACTTGGCTTTGAGTTTGGGTGTTGGCCAAACCCTTTGACGCTGTCTGTGAAGTGCTGGTGTACTGATGTTTCCATTTAAGTGGGATGGCAGGCCATTGTGTAGCTAGATATTCAGGTGTCCAATTGAACATTTTCTTCTACCAAAACCAGTTCACTTACAGTCCTTCCTTACTGGCGGAGTCATCTAATCTTTTAACCTGACAGTACCATAGACGTGCAACTCTGAGGGGTGATGGCCATGTGACACAGGTCATGAGCTGGTGGGAGGAGGACATGGCTAGTTTGACTCTGATTTAGTAGATGCTGTGTTGGAGTTGTATTTCTACCTAGAGCACATCAGTGGGAGCTTGTTTAAGACCAGAGCCTTTTCAGTTTTGTGGCAATTCTGGTTTTCTCTTTTTATTAACAAGGTGGATGCCTTCCCTCGCCTCAGCTAGTGTTTGCTGACAGTCTGTTATATAATGCTCTCCTTTCTTTCCTTTGTACTTCACTAATCTTTACATTTTGAACTATTTTTCCTGTTTAGACTAAAGATACTCCAAGTGAAGAAGTTAATTTGAGTCAGATTGTGCCCTGTGAGCCAAGTCCACAAGAAAAGTCGAAAGAACTACCTGAATGGAGCGAGAAAGTGGCCCACAACATTCTGTCAGGTACTGCAGAGCTGTTCATTAGCCCCCATGGTGTCAAACCTGGAACCAGTAAAAGTGTTGCTTATAGATTTTTATATATTAAATAACAGATTAAAAATACTGACTGACAGGTGGCAGGGCGGGGCTTCCGAGAAGGCAGCACATTGCTGTTTAAGTTTGTGTTCTTCCAGGGATCCCTCAGCTATCAAAGAATGTGAGCATAAATCATGTCCTGTCTCATGTGTTCTCATCCTTTATCCCCTCCCCCAGTGTCATGTTCTGGGGTTCATGCCCTCTAAGATCCCCATGTTGAAGCAGCAACCCCCAAAATCACAAAATAGAAAGTGAGGTCTTTGAACAGCCACTGGGTTGTGAGGGAGGAGCCTGTGTGATCGAGATTGGTTCTTCATTGAAGGGGCCCTGGAGGCTGCCCTGCTTCTGGTGCCATCAAGAGTGCCTCGCCAGCATCCCAGTCCTGGCTTTCCAAGAAGCGAATCTCTGCTGCTTATCAACTGCAATTTTGCCGTGTTTGTTACAGCAGCAAAGATGCTTCCCAAGAGAGTGAAAAATTGCTCTCTCGTCTAGAAGTGTAGTAGCTTTCTGCTGCTACGGCAAAATACCCGAGACCTTTGTAAAGCCAAAATGGTTGTCTTGTGGCTCAGGAGGCAGCAGTCCCTGGGTGGGTGCTCTGCTGCTTTGGGCCTCTCATAAGACTGCCAGAACAGGAGATGAGAAATGGGGAGCAGCAGCTGCAGGGGCTAGGGCCCCATACTTCTTTTGAGGTAATAATGCTTGACCTAAGGTCCTGTCTGTTAGGTCCACAGTATCTCCCACCAGCACCCTGACCTCACACAGTCTTCAGGCCACAGAGAACTGTTCTGCATTCACACAACTAATAATTTGATGGGCTTCAGAATGATGGGGTGCTTAGATAGGTCACTTACAGGCTTGGGGCCCCATAAATAAGAGAAGAGAAAACACATGTAACTGGGGACTCAGTAGCCCCTCATGTGCCATTACTCCCCATTATCTAGATTTTGAATATCAAGGCCAAAATATAGAAACATCAGTGTTCTAAAGTTATTTCTTATAATTAAATAATTGAAAATGTATCAGGAAGTCAGATCTGTTTCCCCTGGGGTCTCTGCTCCCTTCTACCAGGGGAAGAAGCCATGGTTTGTGTTTTCTATTTTAGTACAAGTACTAATGGCTGATTTCCTTAAGTCAGTAAAAGTGAAGAATAATCCTGAAACTGTAGTGTTATGTTTGATCTAGAACACTCCAGAAACTGTGGTGTTAGGTTTGATCTAGAACAGTCCAGAAACTGCAGTGTTGGGTTTGATCTAGAACAGTCCAGAAACTGTAGTGGTAGGTTTGATCTAGAACAGCCCAGAAACTGCAGTGTTGGGTTTGATCTAGAACAGTCCAGAAACTGCAGTGTTAGGTTTGATCTAGAACAGTCCAGAAACTGTGGTGTTAGGTTTGATGGCTGTCCTCAGGCCTTTGTTCTTCCTGGACTCCCCTCACCAGGGTGGTAGCTGGTCCTTGAGGGAGAGCAGAAAAAGAAAGCTTCCTAATTAGTTGCTGCTACCTACTTTGAGCTGTTGCTCCTCTGAATAAATAGCTGTGCTTGTCACGTGACCTCGCACTGTTTCCTGCCACAGATCTGGATCTGGAGAGAATGAATGTGTTTAGGAGCTTTCTGTTCTAGAGCTGGCTGTAGCGGAGATGTAAACTGCAAGCTTTTGAGAGGAGGAGGTGCTCCTCTTGCTTCTTTGTATTTCTCTAGCGCCCCCCCCCCCCACCGCAGTGTCCTCTGGCTGAAGACCTCTCTCCCCCTACACAAGGCTCTGCCTTCTTTATGTCTTGGTGGCAACAGCTTTTCTAGTTCAGGCTGTGGGAAGCATTAGTAAAGCCAAGGGTGGGCCCACACCCCAGAGACAGCTGCAGGCCAAGCTGCTCCCGACTTTTCCAGGGTGCTCATGCTTCTGTCATTAGGTTCAGCAGACCATAGGAGTAAGAGAACAAGATCCCCTGCCCAGTTAATGCTTGAGTCTAAAGCAAGCAAGAGTCTTCAGAAACCAAGTTCTTTGGTTTCTTGCTTGAATTGTCTTTCTCAGGATTTCATTAGGACCAGTGTTGCCTAAATTAAGGTAGAAAGGACAAGAGTGCCTCATTTCTCCAGCCAGATGCTGCCTTAATGACCTCAATTCAGGAGTCAACATCAGGATTTGATCATAGAAAAGTGTGGTCAGCAGCAGATTCCTGCATATTGTTATACAGCCCAGAGTAATGCAGGATTCTGGTCCAGAAAGATGTGTGACCTAAGTAAAAGGCTTAGTTAGAAAGGGCTTCAGTCAGACCGCAGATGGCTCAGTGGTTAAAAGCACTGACCACTTTGCAGAAGACCTGGATTTCGTTCCCAGCATCCTCATGGTGACTCTCAAACACCTGTAACTTCAGTTCTAGGGAATCTTCCACCCTCTCCTGGCCTCTTTGGGTACTGCATGCATGTAGTGCACATACATTCAGACAAACACATAAAATAAGATTAGCTTCAGGAAGAAGCTGTAGGTGTGCAGTTGGCATGTTCGTGGCCGATGTAGGATCTACTACTGAACCTTGTTTTATGCTCATACTATTAAAGGATTTAAAGGCATAACTAACCATAATCGCTACAATTTTAAATTTCCCTTGTAAAAGGTGCTTCCTGGGTGAGCTGGGGTTTAGTCAAAGGTGCTGAATTTACTGGCAAAGCCATCCAGAAAGGAGCTTCTAAACTCCGAGAGCGCATCCAGCCAGAGGAAAAACCGGTGGAAGTGAGTCCGGCTGTCACCAAGGGCCTCTACATAGCGAAGCAGGCAACTGGAGGAGCAGCGAAAGTCAGCCAGTTCCTGGGTAAGTGCCCATGCTTCCTGTGGGCTCCTTACAGAGGCTCCACTGCTCCACAAGGAAAGAGTACAGATGGCGTGCCTCCCCTCCCCCACAGTTACACCTGCAGCCCAGCAGCGCAGTCGTACTGTCTGTCTCCCCGGGTGACACTTTAGCATCACAGCCCCAAGATTTGTTTTTATAGAGTCACACCAGTCTTCAGTGGATTCCACTAAATTCAGTAAGATTATCTTTTTTGACACCTCAGAAAAATGGAAGTGGATGGTTTTCTTTCTAACAGAAGTGTGTCAGAGAGGCTGAGTTTCCATAGATACAGCAACAGCTAACAGAGACAGTAGCAGTCACGCAGAAAGGCAGTTGGGGATGGTCGTTCGAGAACTTTGCTTGAGGCAGGTGCTAACATCAAGAGAACAGTTTCTTTGAGCCTTTTGTCTGCGGTTGTGCTAGTTGATGGCGTCTGCACAGTAGCAAACTGCGTTGGCAAAGAGCTCGCTCCGCATGTCAAGAAGCATGGAAGCAAACTCGTTCCAGAATCTCTTAAGAGAGACAAAGATGGAAAGTCCACTCTGGATGGTGCCATGGTTGTGGCAGCAAGTAGTGTTCAAGGTAACAAACGGCCCTGGGTTTATTTTGGTTTTTTGTTTTTATTTTTGTTGTGTTTCTAGAAGGGCACTGAGCTACCTGAGACACTCAGGCAGGCTGTGTACCTTAGGCGAGACTGACTTTTAAATACCTTTACAGGATTTTCAACTGTGTGGCAGGGCTTGGAGTGTGCAGCTAAATGCATTGTCAGCAATGTGTCTGCAGAAACCGTACAAACCGTCAGATACAAGTAAGTGCAACTTCATTTTAGAGATAAATAGGTTTCCTGTGTCATCAACTCAATCCATGACGCTTAAGATTTATGTCCTTACTTAAATTTCTGATGGCATATTTTTTACTCACTGTTTCCTAAATACGGAAAAATGTTAGTCTGCTGATTGAACTCCTGTGGCTTTGATTTATGCTGCTAATTGTTATAAATGTTCATTAATGCAAAGAATATGTTTAATTTTTGACTACATAATTTTGACAGAAGTGTTTGCTTGAAGGAAAAAATAAAGATTTGATTGGATTGGAGGCCTCGCATTAGCATTGGCTCATCAGAGCGCCGTGACGACTGAGTCATGGTTCCCATTGCACATTTATATTGCACTAGAGATGCTGTCCGTTTCACATGGTCAGTAGACAGGACAGACATGGATGTGCACAGCTTATCTGATAGTTGGAGGCACGATCTCCTCCCTTGACCTGGAGATCCCTGGAGAGAGCTGACTTCAGTGTGCCCTGCTTAGTTGCTATTAGACTCACTGACCCCTTCACCTTAGCAGTGACCTCAAGCTTGCATACAACTCACAGCCAGTGTCTTTGTCCCAGGAAGCTCCTCAGATCCTCAGATCTGTGTCCAGTTCCTGACTGCTGAGACACAGTGGGAATGGCACAGGGAGGCAGAGGAAGGCAGAGCTTACTCCAGAACCCCGCACTGTGTGCAGGCAGCAGGGTCCTCAGCCAGGGGGCGGGCACCAGGAGGACAGGCATGCCAAAGAGGAGAAGAAAGAGGGCCTGTGACCTTATTAAGGTCCGTAGGCCTTTGGGGTGGAGGTGGGATAGCCTGGCTGCTTTAGAGAAGCCGTGAAAGGGAAGTCACTCACAGAACTGTGGTGTCAGCATTGGGTTTTGTTATGGTCAGCAGTTGTGGAGTTGAGCAAAAGCAGTCGAGCCAGTGAGAGGAATGAGTCAACTGTGTCCCCAACAAGCTACATAACGGTTACTAGTTTAAACTAGGCCAAAGGTGGCAAGATATACCTGGTTTCAAACACTTGAGAAACAAATACTTTAGCGGTGTTATTAAAGAACAAATTTAAAACGCTGGCTTTTGGGTGTTTTCTTTGTTTGAACTTAGGTTTTTACCAATGTGTATTGTACAAAACTGGGTTTCAGTGTGACATTTCACATGTGCATGGCATGTACCTTTGGTCTCCTGCCTTCTGTCTGAATCAGAGAAATTGGGGTCTAAGAATTAAATCTAGTGGAACCCGAGTTGTTTGGTTAGCTTCAAATTAGTTTGGATCTTACTATTTATTTATGAAAATAAAAAGAGCAGTAGGGCTGGAGAGATAACTCAGTGGATAAAGTTCTTGCCTTACAAGTAACTGGAGAATTGGGAGTTCAGATCCCCAAACCAACACAAAGCCAGGCAGGTGTGGCAGCCCCTTGTAGGGGTCGGGGTACAGAAATGGTTTCCTGGAACAAGATGGAATTGGAGATCTCTGGGTTCAGCGAGATAATCTTCCTCAATTAATAAAGTGTAGAGTGATCGAGGAACAGGTGGGGCCTCCACACACATGTACATGCAAACATGCATACAATATGCACATGCATATTTTATGCACATGCAAAAATGTAATATTAGTAGTGGTACTATTTGAGTTCATACTTAATGTATGTGTTCAGGGTTAGTCATATGTGTTAATTAATTTTAATGCTTCTATCACAGTTTTATAAGGAAACCAAAACATTAGAAGTTAAAGAGCTTGCTGGAGTTACGTTCCTAGTCAAGTGCTGGAGCTGTGGTATAAACCAAGTAGCTGTCGTCACATCCATACTCTGCTTACACTGGGGAAGCATGCTGAGACACCTCTGCACTTGGTGGGCTGTCCGTTCAGCTTCTTAAGTTCTGGACTGGCTTCTGGAACCATCAGTCTTCCGTTATTTAGATTGCTTTCAGCTTAGGTAGTACTAAGTTTAATTTCCATCCTAAATTGTTTGTTCTTTCAGCGTGGGGTATGCCTTTAATTCAAAGCAACATGGCAATCAGCTTGGGTGGTCAGGTTTACTCAGCTGAGAACAAATACAGAGTGAATTATAATTACCATTTCTTAGTACAGATATTGGGAAGTGAGGGTGCTTGTTTAACCTTTTCCAAAAATGTGTGGATTATTAGTGAGGAGGTTGGTGTGATAAACAAGGTACTTGTCCAGGGTTTCATTGCTCTGAGGAAACCATGACCACAGCGACTCTTACTAAAGGAGAGCATTCAGCTGGGTCTGCTTAGAGTTCCAGAGGTCTAGGCCATTGTCACAGCCGGAAGCATGGCAGCCTTCAGGCAGATGGTGCTGAAGAAGGAGCTGAGAGTTTTTACCTGAGAGTAGGCAGCAGGGAGAGAGAGACACTGGGCCTGCCTTGGGCTTCTGAAACCCCAAAGCCCATCCTCAGTGGTGCACTTCCTCCAACAAGATCACACCTCCCAATAGTGCCTCTCCCTAGGAGCCTATGAGGGCCACTTTTATTCAAACCCCTAGTATTTTAACCATGGCCCTGAGTGAGTGCAATCCTGTGGTGCTGTGTTAGCGTTGTTTTCTTTTCCCCAGAGATGCGCAGTGTGAATAAATAAAGCAGAATTACCCAGCATTGACCTCGTGCCTAGAGGAGCGATTTCATCAACAGTGACTTCGCTTATACAGTTAGAGTCTTGGCAAGAAGGAAAAGGCCATGAGGGAGTCAGGATTTGACCCCAGAATTACAGATTTTGTGCCTGTGAAGGCCCAGAAGTAGAAAATGTCTTTGATGAAACCTATCGGCTGAGCTGGCAACAGCTTAGTGACAGAATGGGATTTAAATCTACACTTTCTATATCTTTACACGTATGACCCTGGAGAAAGCAGAATGAGTATTTATTGGTGTCTACCGATTTAGTGTGATGAAGAAGCTGTGTCCTCGCTGCCTGTGGAAGCCGCTGCTCTCCTACAGAGTTTTAAATCTGCCTAAATCATGTGCATCCTGCCTGGGAGGAAAACAAATGCTTTAGATGAGCTTTCTTACCTGGTGTTTGCTGGCCTGGGTGGGAGGGAGTAGGGACACTGAATCTTTCAGGTGAATATTTAGACTTTTTTTTTATCTGTTACTTTAATACTTTGGTCTCACTTTTTTAGATTTAGGCAGGTGGAGACATACAGGAATACTGGAAAGCCATACGCAGCCTAGCGCACTGAGTCCAGCTGCAGCGGCTGCCCACTAGATAACCCTCGCTGCAGCTTAACTTCTAGAGCCACAGTGTCTCCTTGGCTCCTCTCTGGCTTGCTAAGGAGGATGATGTTGCTGCAGCAGGTTTGGTCTGCTTGTATTTTCTCCTGGTAAAATTTCATTTTTATCCAGTTATGGAAGAATAACTAACGGTATTTTACTAGAAGAATTTTACTTTCAGATGTCACTAGCTTGTATTGGATTTAGAGTAAAATTTGTAGAAGTGAGGAATTAGCTCCAATGACAGATGCCATAGTCTCTGAAGACGGATCTGCTTGACACCCATGCAGGGATTAGTCTGGCTCCTCTCTTGCATGCAGATCTGTACAGATATTTAAGCAGCACCATTGTCCCTGTCTCTTGTTTTTTCTTATCTGAGGACTCCGGTCTCTTGAACATGATCTCTAGGTCCTTCATTCTCCCCATCATTTCTCATTTTGTTAGTGACAGGTTTAAGTTCGTCAGTTTTCTAAAAGGAATCAGAGTTGACTTGGGTGTTCTAGAGCTGTACTGATACGATCAGGTGCAGAGCGCTGGCTTCTCTTGTGTTGGTCGGGTTTTGCTCTTGATGAAGGAACACAGTATATGTTTTGGGTAGCCATTACTTTGCTGACTTATATCATATTTGACACTTAAAAATACCTTTAAGGTCTGGACCTTTATTTGTTTAATGCCGGGAATGGAACTCAGGACGCTGTTGGTGCCATTCAGCGTTCTTCCTCTAAGCTGCGTCCCAACCCCGCACCTCTACCTTGTTTTAGGGTTATCAGGCTTTTTGTTTTCTGGGCATGTTCATTACACTTCGGTTCTTTCTAGAGTCTCACTGTAGTGCAGCCTCCTTTTTCCTTGTATAACGTCACTTTCTAAGGGTTTCTGTTGCTGTGATGAGGCACCAGAGGCACCTTTGCTGGAGGGGGGAGGGTTTATTTGACTTACACTTCCATATCACTGTTCATATTGAAGGAAGTTAGGACAGGAACCCAAACAGGGCAGGAACCTGGAAGCAGAAGCTGTGCAGAGACCATGGAGACATGATGTTCATTGCCTGCTCCTTGTGGCTTTCTCAGTCCACGTCCAAGACCACCAGCCCAAGACCACCAGCCCCAAGATGACCCCACCCACAGTGGGCTGGGCCCTCCCCCATCAATCACTAATTAAAGCACCCTACAGGGTTCCCTATAGCCCCATTTTATAGAGGCATTTTCTTTATTAAGGTCCCCCCCTCAGATGACTCTATCTTTTGTCAAGTTGGTATAAAACTGTCAAGCACCAGTCCTCTGTGCCCATGGCTGTAATTTCTACCTGTGCAGCAGCACGTCTCAGGGCTATTTCTCGTCCTTTTCCAGGCTCAGTCACATTGTGACTTTAAGGCACCGCGTGCTGACCTCACTCTTGGCGCCCCCACCTTCACACTGACCTTCCCTTCTCGGCGGACACAAGCTTGTCTCCTGCCTTGAGTTCCCACTGCCTTCAGAGTCATAGGGACTTGTGGAAATATGTTTTTGGTTCATTGCATTCCTTTGTTGATATTTTCCTTCATTGCTTTCACGAAAAACTTAAGATCCTTATCTTCACCTCCATGGCCTTCCTAAACTAACCATAGCTTGCCTACTTTCAATAAATAGGTGAATAAGATCTGTTTCTCCTTGAAATATTCCAGGTCACTTTTTCTGAGCATAGTACTGATTGATGTGGGAGATGTCGTACTGAAGCACTAACCTGTAGGATCTTGACTCACGGCAGCGTTCTGCCTCTGTCGACCTCAGGAAACACAGTGGGCATATCTGAACAACTCTGGTTCCAGTTACATTAGACCCCTGACTTAGGACATCTTTACAGTCACTTTATTGTCCTCCAGTTGTGGTGTTTGACCATGAAGTATAACTGAAACTATCATTTACTAAAAAGTAGAAGTGAAAAATAATTAAATCGAAATTAGACTTTATGTTCTTATCCAGATCCATGCTTTTGAAGAGTTTTGAGCAGTACGTTTGGAGTTGAAGTGCAGTAAAGTGCTGAGTGGTTAATTACCTAGGAAGAGAGGAATAGGCATCTATTAGGAGAATTGTGGGTAAGGGCTATTAGAGCCAATAAATGAGGGCATATTAAAAATTAAACACAGCAAGTAAAAGCCCCATAATTCCTTACTTAGGAATTTTCTAAGTGATTTCAAATATATGTTTTTATGAACTTGAAGTGCAGAGATGGAGAGAGTTGGCCAAGGTCTTACGATCATAGTATCTGATGTCATTTCCTGACTCCCAGGTTGGTGAGTTTCCCACATTGTAGCAATTCTCGCAGTCTGAAGAGACCAACTCACTCATTTAACACATCAAGGACGGTGTAGCTTTTAGAAGTGCATTGTACACAGAAATATCCTGTTCCATGAGGTATCAAACTGCTGAGCAGGAGCGTTCCAGCTATTCGGAGATGGGCATTCATGCTTCTGGATAATTTTCTCCTTTGAAGACAGTCCCTTTTCTGCGCGGCCCCCACGGTGATGGAAAGTGTCCTCCAGGAAATGTCGTGCTGTTCTTTTATCTTCTCAGACTTGGCTTTAAAGACTTCCTGGTTATCACTGCCAGAGGTCACTTTTGTTATGGTCACTTTTCCATGCTGAAGCCCACACTTCATTCTTTTATTGAGTCATAGCTGGTGGATCCGCTGAGAACTCCCTCAGCTATGGTGTCTCTTCTATAAGACAGCCAACCCTTCGCGATGCTGAGGGGTCGCAGAAAGCAGTTACAGGAAGCCTTTCTGCTAATGCTTAATAAGGAAGTCCACATTCCAGGGTGGTTCTGAGATAAGATTTGACTGACTGTGGGCTCTATTGTTTGTAATTACTAATTCCCTGCTAAGGAAAGGTTGGGGGAGCCATCCAAGCCACAGTAAGATAGGTGGCTTTGGACTGACAGCACTGGGTTGGAAAAGCCAGGGTGTTGCAAGTCTGTTCCGGTCAGGAAGGCTGGCAGTGGATTCCTTAAAGCAAAAAGCAGGATCAGTGTTTGTATAAAATGTCAAGGGCTGGCCCTCAGTGCCAAGCCTGGCCGCCTGTGCTCGGTGCTGCACAAAGGAAGCAGACAACTGACTCCTGACCTCCTCACACTGGCATACACAGATAAATGAATAAATGTAGTAAGTCCAGAGGTGACAGCTCTCTCCGTGAGTTTCCTGTGTAGGGGGATTTAAACCTTGACTTTGGTTGTTGTATAGGCAGGGCTTTGTGAATCAGCAAAACTTCAAAAGTCTGTCATCAGGGTAAGGGTAAAATTACAGAGGGGAGGTTGTGACGTCCTTGTATTGTTCAGATTTACTTCCTCAGAGCTGCAGTGTTAAAGACTTACTAGCATTGTCAATATTAAGTACTTCTGTATACTTTTATAATTTCTCATGTATTTTACTATGCGTTTTTCATTGTTCTATATTAATTGTGTACAACAGTAAGTTTCATTATGACATATCCATGTATGTATATGATGCACACCTATATTGCCCTTCCTGTCTCCCTTTTCTTCTCTCATATCCTGAATAGACACTACTTTTTACTCTTGAATTTTCCACCCACCTCAGATTTCATGTGTAAGAGAAACAATTCGGACAGTGGTCTGTGTGACACCAGCTTCTCTCACTGAACATGGTTCTGCTCACTTCCCTTCTAATGACAACATTTCACTTCCTTGTTGCTGAGTTAGCTGGATTGTGTGCATAGCTCACTGGTTTTCTTTTATCCATTCAGTTTTCTTTTTTTCATTCAGCCAGTAATGCTCACCTAGGTGATTCTATCACCTGACTACTGCAAAAAGCAGTGATCAACATGGGTGTGCAGTTGATTGTACAGTGACCTGTTGCATGCTGGGTGAAGAATCTGAGACAAGTCAGGCATAATGGTACCTGCCTGTAATGCCAACAGTGGAAGGCAGAGGCAAGAGGGTTGAGCTTGCAGTAAGCTTGGTCCGTGCAGGAAGGAGGGCTGGGGAGGAGGAGATAGGGGAGATAACGCCACAAGTGATCATATAATTCATTCATGAAACACTTACTGGATGCCAGATGCTCAGAAGCATAGGGTACATTTATGAACAAAGCAAAGATTTCCCTCTGCAGTGGGGTTTCTATTTTAGTGAGATAAGCAAAGATGTTAACAGTTGCTATGAATACATCCTATGGTGTATAGACAACAGTGAGCTATGGAGGAAGAAAGGGCAGTCAGATAGAATTGGTTGTCACTGAGGCAGGGTGCATGGGCCAAGGCCATGTAAGCAGGTTAGAACTGAGAAAGTAGCAGTGATGGCTCAAGGCACGGGAGGCATCAAGTCGTGACATGTCTGAACGGACAGACAGAACAGCAGAGGTCCAGGGCTTCTGTGTCTTTTGCAGATTCTAAAGACAGCAAGATGGCCAGTGAGTTGGCAGTGGAGTGGTGTACCAGGGGAACATCACAGGATCTCTGCTTAGAGGCAAATCAAATGCTTATGGGTTAGGGAGCATCTGTGATGCTAGAGGTTCTGTGTCCCTTAGATGCTCATGGTTAAAGGGCATTTGTGATGCCTGAGGTTCTGTGTCCTTTAGATGCTCATGGTTTAAGGGCATTTGTGATGCCAAAGGTTAGTTGTCCTGTAGATGCTGCATCTACATTTGTTACTTTGAGAAGTGAAGTAGAGATTTAAATGATTAACAATGTTTGTTTTAATTTATGTTTAGGGATTTTTCACCATTGTTTTTTTTATTACCATTGTAGCTAGTCTTTTATCTTCACACATACTTTGTTTTTTGTTTTTTGGTTTTTTTTTTGCTAAAAGGGCAGCTTTGTAATTGTGGTTTTTATTCTCCCATGTCTTCACTTATTAACTAAATTAAAACCTAACCTTCAGTTTTGCTTTCAAGAATGGTACAGAAGTCATACAACTCAGTCGCTCCTGATTTCAGGAGAGTGTTTTCAGAAATACTGTGTATGTCATTCTTGCCCTTTCTGTTTTTTCAAAGGTATGGGCACAATGCAGGAGAGGCTACACACAACGCAGTGGACTCCGCCATCAACGTTGGCCTCACCGCCTACAATATTGACAACATCGGCATCAAAGCCATGGTGAAGAGAACGGCAAAGCAGACGGGGCACAGACTCCTTGAGGACTACCAGATCATTCACAGCTCTCAGAAGGAGAGCCAAGGAGGGGCAAGCGCAGATGTGGGAGGAAACACAGAAAAGCAGGCGGAGGAAGAGGAGAAAGGAGCAAAGAAGAAAGATAAATAACGAGTTCTGGAGTGACCTACACCAAAGCCTTACCAGACGGAGTGTGTGCGACAGCAGATGTGGATTCTTCACACAAGGAGCAGTGTTTTCTTTGTGTTCATTCCTACAAAATGACTGTCAGAAGCTTGGGGCATGTATCCACTCACAAGAAAAATAATCAGTATTCTTACATCTGGCCTCTAGAAATATGCAGTTTATAGTCTCAGTGAGTTTATTTTCCCTTAAATGTGGCTCAAATATTTTTGCAGTTAAAATAAAGCTTATAATATATGTGACTTAAACCTAATGTCAATCTATTTTTATATGTGCTAGCCTTCAGAAAGCAAAGTAGGAAGCGATACAAACGGCGTTCACAGCCACATGAGTTCTCCTTATGCTGGGATGAGTGACCTAACGTCGGAGCCTCCTTTCTGCACTAATTGTGCTGCACTAATTGTGATCCTGGGGAGACCCAACAGAATTTTGAGCATATAAGCTAAATAAAACCATGATCTTGAAGCGTGTTCTCAGATCACATCTTAGAAGTCTTTCTTACACAGGAAGGAGGTTGACCGTGAAGTGCCATGCAGTTCTGCAATGTTATCTTTTCTGCTAGACCTCTCTGCTAGGAACCAAAATGACCTTTTGATTTAACCCGAAGAAAAGGTTTCTTCACGTCTTTAGGATTGAAAATATGCAATTTTTTGAGAGAATGATTTTTATTAATTCTTTGAGGATTTTGTACTTGGATGAAATTGTTTTGATTATATTCTCCCCTAGCTCCTCCTAGGCTCACCCTCACCCCTCCTCCCAACTTCACGCTCTTATGTTTTAAATAACCAGAGTAGTCTGGTCTGTGCTGCCCATTTGCTCATGGGGGTGGGGTAACGCACCGAGCATCTGCCAGGGACTACACCCCTAAAGAAAACCGACTCTCCCTCCCCAGAAGCCATTAACTGTCAATAGATCCTCAACTAGGGCTGGGGGTTTGTGAGACCCTGCCCGTTCCATACTGGGGTGTTAGGTGGTTTATGGCGTGGAGGCAGCCCCAGCTGCTGGGAGTCCTGCCGTATCCAGATGTCGGTTCAGCCAGTCTTTACAGTGTTTGCACCCCCTCTTCCCCCATGTTCCTGAGCCTTGGGAGGGGTGTGGTATTTTGAAGTATGATAATATTCTATTAAATTTTGAAGCCGTTGTTAATGGCTTTAAGAAATCACGTTTCCATATCTGCTTCTGTAAATTTTTCCTAAATTTGCAGAAAGTAAAACATAAACATTTCACTTACTGATAGTAATATATTTCACTCAGTCATTAGAGTTTATACTAAAAGCCAGTAAGTGATTTTAAAGGGAGGAACCTATTCCTATCAAGGTAAAGAATATGGGATCCTTTGGTGGGTAATTCCCACTTCAGTGGAAGGCAGGATAGACATTTGATGATATTCTTTAAGCTACAAATATATAATTAAATATTCCATGATTATTTTATTATTTTGTTGACTTTTGAAGGTTGATATTGGTTTATATAGTTATGTCTATTATAATCATTTCTGAACCTGTAGTTGACTACCTTTAGATTTCATTAATTGGTTAATGAATGTGCTTTGAGAATAAAATGATTTCTGAATTGCTGGGCCTCAGAATATTCATTGGGCTTGGATTTCAGGAATTCAGAACAGATGGGGATTTTTTCTCTCATAGGCTGTAGTGGCTGTTGAAATGGATTGTTAAACACTGTCTCATCAGTTTCTGCATTTATTTCAGAAACAGAACGGCAAGTATTAGGGCCTTGGTTTAAAGTCACCTTAGACCAGAGACGCACAAGTGCGGTCCACTGACCAGATCCAACTGACCACTTGTTTCCAAAAATAAATTTTTACTGGGGCAGTTACACTCATTTGTCTGCACATTTGCTATGGCTACTTTTTTCAGTGCCCCAGCTGTCGTAAGAATATAGGGCCCCAAACTGAAAGTACTGACCCCTTTACAGACAGTGTGCCAACCCCCTGACTTAGACTGAAGATGACTCTTCATCTCCACAGGGTTGAAGCAAACCACACTTCAGACTTGTGAATCTGCTCACCAAACTTTACCATTCAAGATCTTTAAGGAGGCCGATTACACAGGCATAATTAAATTGTTGACTATTGCAGATTAACTCAGTCCCAGTCTTGTATTTATTCCCCATAAGGTCAAGCACTCAAAGGACAGAGCCAAAAGTCCCAGCTTTCTCACTACGTGACTAGGTATGACAACCAGCCCCGTCATCTAGGTGACATTGAACTCCTCAAGTATGCTTAAAGGGGAATTATGAATAAAAAACAATATTCTGTGACTCCAAGAGTTTTCAGAGCTTTGTTGGGAACCTGGTACTTAGACCAAGTATTTATTAATATTTATTTTATTTATGTGTGTGTGCATGTCTTTATATGCACCATGGTTTTTTGTTATTTGTTTGTTTTGTTTTACAATATCTGTGGAGCCCAGAAGAGAACATCACATCCCCTGAGACTAGAATTGCAATGAGCGGTCCTGTGTGTGTTGAGAATTGAACCCCTGTCCTCCACAAGATCATCCGATGCTCTTAGCCACTGAGCTTCCCTCCAGGCCCATATATCTGTTCCTATCTTACCCCCTCACAGAACATCCATAGTTCACAAAGTTAACCCATCACCCTAGCCTAGTTTCTGTTGTCTAGCGACTGGCTGTGGTTTGTGTGCTCATGTTCCTTCCAAAATTCATGTTGACACTTGATACAGGGCAAATGTATCAAGGGTGGGCTTTTAGGAGGTGGTCAGACCATGCAGCCTTTGTCCTCGCTACTGGAATTAGGGCCTTATGAAAGAGCTGGAGGAAGTTAGCAAGGGCCCTTTCTGGTCTTCTGCTTGTTTCCCATGTGGAAGAAGCCTTGTACTATGTAGGGACACAGCAACAGTGGACCATTTTGAAAGGACCAGGTCCACTCGGAACATGGAGGAATGGAAAATCTGCCAGAATCTTGAGCTTATGCTTCTAGAGTTCAGATTTGTGAAGAGACTTTAGTCGTTAAACATTGCACGTTCTAACCCTAGCATGCCATGCAGCTGCTTTCCCCCTAGAGTGACAGGGCAGCTCAGAAGACACTGGAAGTAAAATACACACAAGGCCCAGTGAGCTGACAGTTAAAGAGCCACAAGGCTGTTCTTGCCCAAGACTATCTAATCAGGTGCAGTTGCCAAGGAGAGGAGCCTCTCTAATTGGCCAAGGGGCCTGCAGGTCCTTCACAAGTCCAAGGAATGCAAGGCTCATCAGTCACACCCATGCTAGCCTAGGCTTTTTGATGATGTCTTTGTGTCTCCTGTGGTCCTGTAAGCAACTCCTCAGCTATCCTTTGGTCAGCAACCTCAGTAACCTCTCTGACTCACTAGACAGTCGTCTTACTTTAGTATGGGGTTGTTGTTTGTGTCCTGTTTGGGAAAATAGGCAATTTCCCCAAGAAACATTCTGCATCACCATTGGCACCCCTAAAGGGACTTGGCAGAACCAAGGACGATGGGGAGGGGGGCGTTGTGTGGCTCCTGAAGTGGGTGCTGGGATACATGGCTGAGGCGGGTCCCTGTGAGACTGGAGGATCTGCAGGGGCAATGCCATTAGAGCTACCTTTCCCAAGTGGGATGGTGTGCCATCTTACTATAGTGCTGATTACATATCCCCAGCAATGGGTGACAGGCAACCAAAGCCAAACCTCTTGAGAGTGGAGCATCCTTGGGAACCCTAGGGTGGCCCATCCAACTTCCTCATGTCATCCCGTATGGGCATGTCTACCATGTGAGCATAGAGATGTTGCTGGAAACATGGAGGGACTGGGCAAGGTCCCTGGAGGCCGCACACTCAGGACAGAGTCATGTGCAGACTCTGATGTCGGTCATGAGCCCTTTCGTGTCAACAATGAGACCTGCCATGGAGCAGGCTCAGCTGTCTTCACAGGAAGAGCTTGTCCCATTAGGGAGGAGAAAGGACGTGTGGATGCTGCACCAACGTTGAGTTAGCCTCTCATGTGTTGAGAAAAGAGGGAAAAGGTAGGCTGAGGTGACGTTGACCGTGACTACTTAACCAGATGTCAGGACACAAGAATAAGGAGAGCGCAAGCTAGATGTCGGCTTAAGAGAATTCCAGAGACTGCGAACACACGGGGAAACTGGACAGCCAGGAGGGAGGAAACAGGGAAGTGACGGGAAGCACCTCTCGGGACAGAGGAAGGGGAAAATATGGGATTCAACCAGCATACTAATGCCTAGTGCAGGACTCTCGTACTCAGGAAGCATCCAGCATCCTCAGGGGATGCTGGGTGGCCGTTTCCCTCTACTTGATACCAGATGTCATGTCCAAGGTGGGTGTAGGGCACCCAAAAGGGCTAGCCAGGGAGAAGAGATGTCCTAGAGCAAACTGGTTGTGAGATAACCCATAAACCTATTAACCTGCAGGGTTACTCTTGAGGGCAAAGATCCAGTCCATCTGAAATGTATTGATATATTTTGCCTGCATGCAGTGCCTGGTGAGACCAGAAAAGGGGAGTTGGGCACTCATCCAATTATGAGTGCTGGGAACCAACCAGAGTCCTCATCAAGAGTCGTGTGAGACATACAAACACAATGTACTCTTTTCTGTCAAAGAATTAAATAAGACAAAACTCTTATTTTTAAAAACATGGTCAAGAATTACTTGGCAGGGGGGCTGGAGAGATGGCTCAGTGGTTAAGAGCATTGCCTGCTCTTCCAAAGGTCTTGAGTTCAATTCCCAGCAACCATATGGTGGCTCACAACCTGTAATGAGATCTGGTGCCCTCTCTGGCCTGCAGGCACACATGTAGGCAGATATTGAATGCATAATAAATGAATAAATATTAAAAAATAAATAAATAAATAAATAAATAAAAGAATTACTTGGCAGAAATCTGAATTCCACTAGGGTCAATACTTCTGAAAGTCAAAATACATGCTGTCAAACTGCCTTCTGTTCTCAATTATAGTTTTCTTATCAGTTGTGCCCCAACCAACAGCGTGGGAGTGTGAGGCCTGGTTCTGGTTGTTCAAAATGAGGCTCAGGACCCCTTTGTGGTGGAAATAAAACTGGTACGCTTGCCTGCTGACTTGGCTGGTTACATACCCTTCGGCAGAAGTTAAACATTCGGCCTTGCTGGGATACTTTGGATTGTGCTGTCATTTTCTGGGGAACCCTGACCCATTTCTCACAGCTCAGGGGCTCTCATCCGCTGAGCCATCTCTCCAGTCCCTCCGATCCCTTCTTGATGATTGTCTGGACTCACCTCTTAATATCCTGTAAGAGGGATTTCACTTCAAGATGAATGTTTTGGGGGGGAACAACCCATATTCAAACATATCACCTTCCTGATAAAAATGTATAACTCAATTAAAAATAATAAAGTATAAAAAAAGATGAGGGAGAAGGCAGAATATATTAAAACAGAGATGACTCAAGAGTAGAATGCAAATATGATAAGCCTATCAGAGCATGGGACTGCCTAAACCCCAAGGAAGAATTTCTTGACCTGACAGCTCACAGTCGTCAAAGTTTAGACTTATCTTTTCAAAGCCTAAAGCAATGAAGGCGGGCGTTCTTAATCCAGCACCCCTAGCAAGGCACAGGGCAGTGCCCAGGAAAGCAAAGTCAGAAGGCGGGGGGCAGAAAAAGTTGGATATTCTGGGCGTCTGTAACCCAGACACAACCCACAGTCCCAGGCTCTTCTACACCTTGCTCACACCAGGGCTTGCAGACATGAGCAGTACCCTATGACGTCATGCTATGGCTCCTGGCAACGCATTTTCCTTCCGGGTTCCTAGGTATCCCCAGGTCTTAAGCACTAGGTGGTGCGCAGGGCAGGGAAAGGGCGCGGGAGGTCCCTAAGCTGCCGCGATGGGAGAGGGCCGGGGAGACACTTACGAGGGGGTGAGCACAGACCGCCTGAAGCTGGAGCTGCTGGAGGAGATCCACTTGAAGTGAGTGGGTCCCGTGGGCTTCGTCTCGCCGCTAGACCTCTTGTGACCGGCAGGGTCGGAGCTCTGATATGCACAAGGAGGCCCCTGAGCCCGGGTGGCGGGCAGATTCATGCAGGGCTCACCAGGCACCTCCCAAGGAAGTGTTATATGGAGAGGTTCACTGTATGTGTGCCTTGTGTGTGTCTCTCTCTGTGTGTGCAACAGATATGTGCAGTTCTCAGGGTGCCCAAAAGATGGCATCTGATCCCCGAAACTGGAGTTACAGGTGCTTTTGAACCTCTATGTGGGTGCTGGGAATCAAACCAGGTCCTCACCTGGAGTAGCCAGAGCTTTTAGCCACTGGGCCATCTGTACTGTCCCCGTTTGCCTTTTCATTTAGCGGAAGTCAAGGGAATACAAGTGAGTTGTTATATTTGTGTAGATCAAGCACAGAGAAATTGTAATGCTGAAAAAAAAATAAGTGACTGGTTTTGACGGTTCTGCTAAATTCATTTTCTTTCTGTTCCTTTTGAGGAACTTCAGAAATCTGGGACCCTCTGTGCTTTTCTTGAGTGGTGGAAGCGATAGGTCAGAATTCTACCAGGGACCTGTATCCTGTCTCTTAAGTGCAAGAGGGAGGGAGGTAGAAAGGGA